AGATGTTAATAGATTTAAGTTAAGGAAACTACGTGTTCTTCCTTGTTTGAATAATGTTCAATGACTGTTTTTTAGCCATTGGGGAAATAGCTCAATTTTATTCTAAACAGACTCCAACTGAGAAAATAATACAAGACACTCTTTTGTTTGCCTGGGGATTTGAGAGCTCTGGAAGTTCATGTACGTTTCATAAGTGGAAGAATCAACATTTCTTTCCTTCCACAGACATATCAAATTGGTTGCTCTCTAAATCAAAACACGGCATGGTACAAACTGGGGTCTTGATGTGGCACATTTCTGACATGTTCTTCGTGTGTTTTAATCCAGCAAATTATTCATTTAGGCTTAGCAAATTATTCTTCTTAGACTTACATTTTGCCTAACTCCTCACTCTACCGAACTGTTTTCCTTTCCCTTGTAATTTGTGGTGGCTTAGCAACTGATCAATGAACACTTGCTAGAACACCATTTGATTCAACCATTAAATAATGGCTAGGGATCTCCTTATGTGAAAACTATGGGCTCTGCAGAAAGGACCAGTCACAGGCATACCTTGATAGTCTCTAAACAACAGCATACAGATGCCAGAGCTCTCTACCTCTAATGCAGGGCCCATCTGACTTGGTTCTGCTTAAACCCAAATCTAAACCTATAGTGACATCCAACACCCCTCATCACCAGCTCCAGGGAGCTGTCTTGATCCCAACCATCCTCTCAACATAATCCCACAAACACATATGAATCTAGAAACAAAAGATCCTTGTCTTACGAACTTATTTTTCCTTTGAAAATAGGCTAATTTCAGGTATGATTTTTGGGTAGGGAAGTTGAAATTGCAATGTCTTTTTCTTTTTCAACTTGTTTAACAACTATAGTGATCTGAGTTAGCTCTTGAAAATCTCTCAGGGATCTGGCAGAGAAATTGCTTCACCCAATACTCTCCATTTGTAGCAGCAGGATTTTCCCACCTTCACGTTCTCAGTCATGTAAACACAGATAGTCACATGTCGCAGCCTAAGAAACGAGACTGATGGGTATCCAGAGGATTCCATTCTTGGAGACAACTTGATTTTCACAGCCAAAATGGACTTAAAATTTGAACTTTTCAGAAGTAAGTATGAAAAGGTAAAATAATCAAAACCCAAAGAAATTCCTTTCTTCATGCCTGTGAGGCCAAAAGATGGTAAGTCCCATCCTTTTATCTTCTAAAAATCTGTGGGTCAGTCCCTTTATATGCACAGAGCAATACATCACAAAATTGCTTCAAGCAATCACTACTAAATTGACTTCCTTTATCATTAACTCCTTAATTTGATAATGCTGTCAATTAAAATAAAACTTATCCAGTTTAGAAACCTGTGGACTTTTAAACAGTTTGCACTTTGGAAAACAGTCAATACATTGCAGAAACAGCTCGTTATTGGAAAACTGTCAAACGTAGATTGCTCTGACGTTATGCACTCCTACTCATCCCCTAAGAGTAAACCTAGATCCTGGATTCTTCTTGTAAATTCTTCTAGACTCCCAAGTCTCAAAGAACCTTCTACTTTTGTGAACTGTCAAGTAACTTAATATTTGTAATTAGTTGCCCAAAGTCTAGGAACATGTCGAGATCATTGTCTTGAGTTCCTTTTCATATCTTGAATGTCATTTTATGTCTAATGTGTTTTTTACTTTATACCCAGACCTAGCTCACAAATACTCCTTTCACTCAGGGACCTCAAGGAAAAATTCCTTGTATTCCCTCTCACACACTCTTTTCATTCAAAAATATTTTTACTACAGTATTATATGCTAGTTAATATGGCAGACCAAGAGGAAACCAAGACACCTTCTTTAAGTATATCACTCCAAGGGGCTTGAATTCCAATAGGGAAAGAAAACACAAAAACAATAACGAAGTCAAACAACATGTCAAAGAATCTCTTGATGAGAAAATATGGAGAAGAACACAGAGATGTTTGCAAAAAGTTGTCTATAAATATCTGTTAATATAAATTAATAGAGTTTAACATAATGTACATTTGTTATATTTTGACTTCTTCACTTCCACATTACTGTGTAAGACGTACATATGCAGCAGTTTTCATTAACTAATCGATATTTATTGAGCATCTAAAATGTGCCAGTCACTTGGGGATACAAAGACAAACAAGACACATCCATATGGTCTCTGCTCTCTAGATGTGTACAGCTTCAGGAATTCAGACAAAATACTAATAAGCAAACCAAACACTTGCAAATTATGAAAAGTGCTTTGAAAGGTGCAACCAGGGTGTTGAAAGAGAGAAGATTAAGTGATTCAAATGGAAAAACAAATAGTTTCTATATAAGGGCCTAAACAAGTTTACTCCTAGGACTGACTCATAGTATAAACAGGTTGTTCCGTGTATTCAGGGAAAGAGTGGGGAAGGACAACCCATCTTAACATGAACCAGTAACATGCTACCCCACCACTCTTACAGTGCTGCCTAGAGACCACCTGGATACTTGTACTTGCCTTTTGACTGTGTGTGTGTGGGGGGGAGGGTGTGTGTGTATGTATGTGTTCAAAAGAAAAATCTGCATTGATGACCCTCTGAAATTATTGTTGGAAGCAAGCTCTCTTTTTTAATTTTATTTTTTTCTGAAGTGTTAAGATTACTATGATCATTATATCCTCCTTTGGTTAATTTTTTAGTCCAGGTTGCTACACCCTTAACAATAAGAAATTTTTTAAAAAATAATTAACAAAAGAAGAAACTAAAATGGTTAATTGGATAATCCACTACCATCATCCCTACCCTTTTTTTTTTTTTTTGGTACCAGGGATTGAACCCAGGGGCACTTAACCACTGAGCCACATCCCCAACCCTTCTTATGTTTCATTTAGAGGCAGGATCTTGCTAAGTTGTTTACGTCCTCACTAAATGGCTGAGGCTGGCCTTAAACTTGTGATGGGATTATAGGCATGTGCCACCAAGCCCTGCTCAGTCCTACTCTTTCTCATACGCTGGCTGATGAGAGAACAGACCTCCTTTGGACTCCTGGCCTCAAAACTGCATTCTGATTGAAATAAAAAGAAAAAGAAATCTAAGTCAGGCTTTTGTAAAGAAAAGGGGGCATGCTCCCTTTCTCTCTTTGCTCTCATTTGTCCTTATCCTAGAGGCCTGAACCCTGTCTGGGCAACGCCTCATTATCTGGAGGAGCAGAGCCCTCCAGGGGTGAAAGACAAGGAGCTGTCTGGAAGTGAGGCTCAGGAAACCCAGGTGCAGTTGGGAAGCCAGCGGCTGCTGCACACAGCTCAGGAGCTGGGCGGCCGGCCCCGCATCAACACCTGGGACTGGAAAAAACAAAGCAAGCTTTAGATGTAGGGGAGTCCAAATATGGGAAGATCATCAAGCAAGGAGTTAACCTTGAAAATCAAGGCTTTGGGATTGGGCTTGAAGGTTAGAGACAGATAGTAAGTAGGGGCCGGATTGAAGTTCTTTAGCCCTGGACAGATACTCAGCCAGAAGGCTCTGATTCACATATTGAAATAATATCATCCTGGTTGGAAACCAGTTACTTTTCACAGCCCTCACACTTCCCTCTCCTCCACTTCAGCTAGCACCCCTACCCCTTCTCTTCTAACCACCTGCAAACAGTTAGACCCCTCCCCACAGCCTCTGCCAAGAGCCAACCAGCTTCTGGGCACCTCTCTGTCCCCCACCACCAACCACCAAGTGTTGCTGCCCAGCAGCCTTTCCCTGGAAGTGTCCCCTTGTCACCAAGTGTTGCAACCCCAGTCTCCACTAGAGACTGCAGCCAGATACCAATTGTTTACATTTAACATCCCCCTACTTAAATCTCGACTAATTAGACCAGGATTGATCCTAGACAGACAGACAGACAGACAGACAGACAGACACACACACACACACACACACACACACACACACACACACACACACACTTAAAGGTGATGGGCCAGATAAAGACAATAATACAAAAATATTAACTAAAATAGCTGAGATCCAAGCAACAGCTGATACAAAAGAGAAAAAAAGTGTCAGGTGTGGTGGTGCACACCTGTGATCCCCAAAATTAGGAAACTGTAACAGGAGGATCTCGAGTTGGAGTCGAGCCTCAGCAACTCAGCAACACCCTATTTCAAACTAAAAAGGGTTGAGGATGTAACTCAGTGGCAAAGTACTTCCTAGCATGTACGAGGTCCTGGGCTCAATCCTCAGTACCTCAAAAAAGGAAGAGAAAAAAATGTTAGTCATATTGTTCTCAAACCTAGATGTACACCATAGTTATATGGGGAGGTTATTAAAAATACAGATAGCAAATCCCCAGACCTAGACTCCCTGATGGGGTCCAAAATCCATAGCTCTAACCAGCTCTTCATGGGATCCCTATGCACAGGGCTATCTGGGGACTCTATCTTATTTCTAAAGCAATATCCATCTTTTGTGGATGGCTTGAGACCCACTGCCCATGGATCCCAACTTCACCAGCTTTTTATGCTGTGGCTGCTAAGAATAGCAAAACCTAGGAAGGAGGGGGGTAAAAATAACTATATAGACAACAACTAAAAGTAAATGATAAATAAATGAATACTGTATCAGGAAAAGCATAAACCAATATCTCTCTCCTGGGTCTTATAAGGTACTACTTTCACTACTGAATGAGATTGTAGTTGTGTGTGTGTGTGTGTGTGTGTGTGTGTGTGTGTGTTGCAAAGCTAAGAAGAAATGAAATATGATCTTTGAAATGTACTTTCCTTGAGTCCATGTGGCTATTTATTATTCAAGATAACATCACAGAGAACAAATGAGAAAATCTGATTATGAAAAATTATCTCTGAAAATCCTCCTGGGGAAAGTCCAGGTGAAGAAAAATTGTAAAGGGTTTAGAGTTCTTGGAGAATCTGCTAAAATAATGTTCAGAGCAAAATTTATCATGAGGTAATAAAAGTTTACAACAACATGCAATACTCAAATGGCAAAAATCAACATAAGAGTGCACCTGCTCACCTTCCGTATAAAGAAGGGAGCCTGTCCTCTTTGCTAGCCATTCTCACCAATCCCAAGTAGTTGATGGTCTTTTGACCCCCACAGCAAGCTTCTCTCTTCCACCATTCTTCTTCCCATGCTGTCCATCTATACAGCTACACATCTGGATCCTCTTCAGGTCAAGCAGTGGCTTAGTTCAGACCAGTACCAAGGATGGAATTGCACAGTCCTGGAACTTGGGGGCTGCTGAAATAAACTCACCCCAAAAAGGAAGTCAAGATTCAGCTTCGGTAGAATTCCAGTTCCAACGCCACGTCCAAAGAGTTACAGAGCCACACATTTGTGATCAGGCTTCTTTCTGCCAAGGCTATAGAAAGTCCAGAAATACAAAGTAGGACCTAGGAGAGCAGCTTTGCAATGGTGACAGATTCCTGAAAGAATCGGACACCATATTAGTCCATTTTCTATTATTATAACGAAATACTCAAGGTTGGATAACCTTATCATGAAAAGAAGTTGATTTAGTTTCCAGTTCTGGAGGTTCAAGGGCACAGCCCTGACATCAGCTTAATGAAGGTCTTATGGTAGATGGCATCACAATAGTGGGAATGCAAGATGAAGAGGTCATATTAAAAGCCAGGCAGTCAGCTGGGTGTGGTGGTGCACACCTGTAATCCCAGCAACTTGGGAGGCTGATACAGGAGGAATGAAAATTCATGTCCAGCTGTGACAACTTAGCAAGGCCTTAAGAAACTTAGCAAGATCCTGTCTCAAAATTTGGTTTAAAAAAATTTTTTTTAAAGGGCTGGGATATGACTCAGTAGTTAAGTGTCCCTGGAGCATAATCCCTGGTATTAATTATTAATTACTTTTTAAAAGACAGGCAGAGAGTGAAAAGGGTCAGTTACAACTTCCCAGGAGACCCCACCTCTTAAACCATAGCCAAACTATGGCTCAATCTGCCAGGACAGTCTTCCTGCATCACAGTATTGACCATGGTGCTCCCCTGCTTTCGTCCCTGAAGTGACTCTTCATTTCCTCTTCCATAAAGGCTTTTGGTGTTCTGGCACTAAATTTCCTTTCCTCCCTCTTCCTATTCATTCATTCAAAGACAGAACACATTTGCTAAATTCCTGTTATATATCAGATTCTCCTAAGGGTTGGAGTCAGAGAGAGTAAAAAGTTTTGTTGTTGTTTGATTTGTTATTTTTTATAGTTGTTGATGGACTTTGTTTTATTCATTTATTTATATGTGGTGCTGAGAATTGAACCCAGTGCCTCACATATGCCGGGCAAGTGCTCTACCACTGAGCTCCAACCCAGCCTCAAAATCCTACCAAATTCTCAACTAGAGGTCAGACTAGGAAACAATCACTTGGGTGTCTGGAAGGCGTCTCTGAAGGTTGAAAGTTCATTTAATCCTTCCAAACCTCTCTCGAGTCCCACAGTCTTCTCTACTTCAGTAAAGAAATGGCAAAGTTTTTCCTCCCGTTTCTTCAGATCAAAAGCTTTAGAGCGGCTCTTGATTTCTCTTTCTCCCACATTCCTGAACAGCAAATCCAGCTGGTCTCACCTTCAAAATCCAACAGAATCCAACCACATCTCCCCAACTTCACTGTCACCACCATGACCCCAGCCACCATCCTCACTTCCTGGGTTACTGCACTAGCTTCCGAACTATCTCCCTGCATCTACTTCTAGAGTAAATTCCTAGTAAAGCAGGCAACACAGTCCTTTATATTCTAACATGTCAGGTTATAGCTCTACCCTTCCAGCTCGAAATCTTCCACTGGCTTTCCACCCGTTCAGAAGGAAGCCAGATTGCCTCTAACTGCATCCCCTGGCTTCCCAATACTGCATGGCCTACCAATTTTCCTCTCCTCCTGCAGGTATGTTTCTCTGGCTCCCCACATTTCTCATTCGGCTCCTGCAGGTGTGTTTCTCAAACCCACCATTATACATCCCACCTCAGCCTCCTTTGGATCTGTGCTCAAACATGACCTTCTGAAAGAACTTCTCAAGTCACCTCAAACAAAATAACTCCATTCTCCCCAAGCACTCCCTATCCTCTTTATTTGCTCTGTTTTATTTGTCAACCTTGTACTTACTGCCATGTTTTTATTTATGCATCTCTTTATGAGCTCCTCCACTTGAATATAAGCCACAGGAGTCCAGAGACTTTGTCTATTTTCTTTATTACTGCTTCCTAGTACCTAGAACACTGCCTACCATGTATCATGCTCAATAAATATTTGTTGAATTAAGTATTTATAGACTACTGTTTCCCCTTCCCCTCCTTCAAATCCTTCCATTTGTAAATCATCTTTACTCTCAGTTTAAATGTCAGCCCTTTAATTGCCTTTACCTGCCCCACGCCAGAGAATGAAGTTCCTCTGGTGTATGCTCACTGTACTTTACTAGATGAATGAACAAACAAGTGGATGAGTGAACAGAAGGATGATATTCCAGAAGCTTCCATCACTGGTGTTTTAGGCTTATATTTACGTTATTAATCATGGTTTTACTATTGGTCAATAGTCAATCAATTCACATAGCTGGTTTGCTTTCAAAACATGAAATTCCACTCCAGTTCTAGGCTACCACTTGGTTTCCCCCTCAGTGCACCCCATTCTGCTCTACCCCACATCCCTCCTTGCTGCAGACAGGTGGCTCTTTCCACAGTCAATTAGCCTCAAAACCATCTCCCCCCAAAAATATTCAATCAATAAATCAGTCAGCATCTGACATGTGCCTAATATGTAACTTTGTGTTTTGAAGAGAGAAAATCAACTCATGTAAAACAATGGACAGTTCAGTGGAAACTAAATGTTTTGTTTTGCTCAGAATCCAGTTTCCCTTCTGATTTACCTTTGGAAAAACACACAGTTCATCCATCCTCCATCCATTTGTTTGGGGTTCTGGGAGTAGGTCCTAATCCACAGCTGGTCAATCAAAGCCACAAAGTTTGGTTCAGGAATGGAAATATGATCCAAGTCAACCTAATCTGAGTTAATTTAAATATGCTATAGTAATTAAGCTAAGAGGCTTTGGAGCAAACTACCTGGGTTGAAATTCCATCTGCACTAATTACCACATATAAGAACTTGGTAAGTTATCTGTTCTCTGGTGGCTCTGGTTCCTTGTATAGGAAATAAGAAAGATAATTCTTAGCCATAGGATTGTGAGACAGTTTAAGTAATATGATAAGTGTAAATTGCTTAAAGCCATGCCTGGTACCTATTAAGTATTCAATGCATGCTAGTTAACTCTGTTTTGGGAACATTTTAGAAAGAAAATCTTCCTGCTAGGGCCATCTTGCTAACACATGGCAAGAGCCCTGTCTGAATTAAGTCAAGCCAAAGGGAAGCAGGGCTGAGAGATTAGGAGAGAGGGAGCCTGCCCCAGCCATTGAGTTCCAGGATCTAGATGTGTCTGACATCATAAGACCTCGGGAATTTTTGCCTATGTGAGTCAACAGATTCTTTTCTTTTCTCTTCTTTTTAAAGGCACGTTGAGTTGGGCTTCTGTCTGTTGCCTTAAATTGTTCTGCCTAAATAGGCAGCTGTTCCGGGTAATGAAGAATTAAGTGCTAACTGGGTGTCATAGACATGCATACGGTGCATGAGGGGGCAAGTCCAATGCAAGCTCTCATAAGCAGAGCAGAGGGGGAGCTTGCCCATCTCATAGTCCGACGGCTCCAGCAGCCACATCAGAAGATATCTGGAGAATAATGCAAATATATCACCCCAGAAACCGTATATGAATTAATCAAAGAAAAAAATAAAAATCTCTTCTAGAGGGGAAAAAAAAATCATGCTGCTTAGAGCATTTTGGCAATTTTTGCCCCTCCCGTAGCCAGGGTCTAGAGATCCCTGAATGGAAATGACAACTTCAAGCTTGCAAAGTCGACTCTCAGACAGTGAAGAATGGCCTTTGATTTTATATCTGATAATCATGTTAGCTGGATCCTTTGGCATCTTCAGAAGGGACAACTTCAAAGGGATTCCTTTCAGGAAATTAGAAGGCAGCAAACCATTTCCTTACCCTGGAGTTTCCATCTAGGGCTCTTTGGGATCCCTCAGCCCTGAGCCAGGGGTTTGTCCCTCATCTGGAAATGTGCATATCCACCTTACCCCTCCTCTAGAGTTTCCTGGGAAGGAATCCAGGTGACACCTTCCCTTGACCTTTCCTTCCTTCCTTCCTTTCTTTCTTTCTTTCTTTCTTTCTTTCTTTCTTTCTTTCTTTCTTTCTTTCTTTCTTTCTTTCTTTCTTGAGCACAGTCAAAGATACAGAGAATCAATCTTTTCACAAGGCAGTGAGCAGGTTATCTACAGCTTGACAAAAGCATCATTTCATAGGCCTAGGATTTGAAGTTGATAAGAGGTTTGCAGGAACAAAGGGATATTGACAGGTCAACTATGAGCAATCACAACCTAGTGAGCAAAACAGAGATAGGGAGAGTAGCAGCCAGTCTGCTTCTCCCAAATTACTTCCATTTTTTTTCTCATGGAGCAGTCAGCAGAGGCATCCTCATTTAGAAAGTTCATTACAATTTTATTACCTTAAAATCGCCCAAAAACCATAAGGGAAACATTGAAAGTGGAAATGTCCACGGTGTTTTTCTTAAGGTTAGCATCTGTTGCCAAATTCACCCTCACTTTGTTAAGGTTGCAATGTTTAGATTTTTGGATTTTCTAAACAAAAAGAAGAAAATATTAAGAGCTAAAAATATTTGGAAAATGCCTTCTTAAAAAACGAAGTGAAGACAATTGATCAGAATATCAGTGGAAACCAGGATTTCACTATTTATTTCTTTTCTTTATATTTTTTTAAAAAAGCAGACCACAAACACATCGGCACGTGCAATTCTCTGCAGCTAATATGAACAACAGAAATGTGGGAACCTCCCCTCAAGGAAGGCTCAAATGTGATTATTCAGTCGTGGATGTCACTGGATTGTCAACTGCTCGTTTCTAGCATTAGTGCCAAAATCCGATCAGCCCTTCATTAGAATGATCTTCCTTCCTCTCACTGAGGCTCTGATGGCTACATGTTTGAACACAGAATAAATGATTTCCTCATTGTCTTGCTGAGTACGGGATAAACTGGAAGAGAGGACTAAAGGGGAGTCTGGTAGGAAGCCTGCCACGTTTGTAAGCTGTCACAGTCTTGGAGCTACAAGGCTGTGCTGTGGCTCTAGGTGACATTCTCTTGCAAGGACAGTCCTCCTAGAACTAGTGGCTCATGCCTGGTAAATGTGGTGCTTTGGGCTCTGGCATCATGAGGCTAATGCTGACTTTTCCTAGACCTGGGACTGACAACATTTGCAATTTAGAGTAAACCCACCCAGTTTGGAACTGCTATGAGTATAAAGGTGTGATTCGATAAGATTTAAAGGAGAGATTTCTCACCAGATAGAACTAGTTTATTACTACTACACTAGGTCAAAAATAAAACCCCTGTGCTTTCTTCCCAGATCCTGGAACAACACTTTCAATATCTTCCTGGTTGAAATTTGAGATCATTCAGGGTTGGCAGTTTCCTTCAGTGGATTGCTGGCCCAATAAATCTCAATCTCATCAAATACAATGACTCTGTTTTATCAAATATT